TAATTCTTTAAAATCACTATATTTTATAAGTCGATAAATTAATTATTATTTTGAAAATATTTCTGGAGATATATCTATTTATTTTTTAAAATTAACCACGAACCTGTATCAACAAAAACATTCCTGATAAGGGGATCTCTGGGATGGAAAGCCCAAACAAATCTGTGTGCTATTGGTTTCGACGAATTAGATGCGCTTTCAATAAAGGAAATAGTTAAGTTATTTACATTTGGTTCCATTGCAATGAAATTTCTCGAAAATGTCCAGCACAACACGCAACAGACACTCCGACCAAGAATAATTACAACGACAACTTATTACTGTTAGCATAACAAATTAATACAACAAACTATCTTAGCATTGGATGCGCTATCTTCAACGTTATCTTCAGTGCTCGAGATCAAAAAGCATCCTGGGGTTAAAACAAACTCGTTTGTTAACAATAATACAAAAACAACAACAAAGACAATAGCAAATTGTTGACAATATTTTTATTTGTTACGGAATTGTTTTTACTGACGACCCTTATGCTGATGACGGAATTATTTTGTTAATGTAGTTTCCGATAAAATGTATTTTTAGGTAAAGGATAATTCTGTTTAATTTTAAAAAGATGTGCTCTGAAACGTGTCTTTAATGATTTTAGTAAAAAACAGGTATTTTTCAAGTTGTTATTTAAATATAAATTGAATTAGCTTTCACAATCAATTCGTGAAAAACCCGAAGAAAGAAAAAACTGGTATTTAGACAAATAAGAACAAAAATTATCAGCTTCTATTAATTTAATTTTGGATCTATAAATTCCAGAAGTATCATTTTATTTTTTTTATGTCGTCATGATTTTTTTCATATATTTTGCCAATGTATAAACAAGACTTATTCGTAGCTACACAACCCTGATAACCTACTTTCAAATTTTGATCCCCTGCTTTGAACTGCTATTGAAACGAAAATATTTTTTTTATGAAAGACGTACGTAAATCTCAAATTTCAAATTGATTTTTGAAAATTTAATTTCGTCACTTACAGATAAATTGTTAATAAATTATGGATATAAAAGTCAATAAATTTAGGTACAGTATATTTTTTATGCAAGTTAATTAATTTTTTGTTTCAACATTTTGCGCATTGAATTATTTCGTATTTTTTGCGCACTCATATTTACTCACATTTCTTGGAAGGACAGAGCTCAATAAAACCCAGTTTGTTGCAGGAAAATCCTGACTTTAATATGAGTTAAAGCTTTAAGAATTTCAACTATCTCAACTTTTTGTATTATATAAATTAAATAGCTATGCAAAAGTTTCCTAAGTGAACTATAAAATTGATTATGTGTTAAATTTCAATGGATTGTATATCAATTATTATAAGAATTTAGCCACCTGATAAAGCTACTGCTATAGTAAAACAATTATCGTTGAAATAATTTAACGTTTAATGTTTCACGTAAAGTTTAAAAAGTAAATACTGTAAAAATCAAGGTTTTGTTTAAAGATTCGTTTGATACAGTACATATCTCGTTATGATCTATGTATCGAATCAATTTCGAATTAAATTCATAATCGTATTGTACTTAACTGCCTTGATTTTACAATTTGCCATCGCGTTTGATAAACAGTTATGGCTTTCGAAAAACGCTATCCGGAAAGTTCGTGTAATTGATTATTTATCTACAGTGTGTTTGTACTGTTTATTCATGATTATCAGATTAATTACCCGTTGTTGGTTTTTCTAGTTACAGATTCACAGACCGTAATAAATTCTTTGATAATACTCTAAAAATCCTACACAATCTGAACAAACCAATCTAAAACAATAAGGAAAAATGCGTCACTGAAATCATGAGTTACAAGTGACCCAAAAATGGTACTGATTGTCGGATGCAAAGATGCAATGAAGATTTCATAAAGAAATTTACCATCATCATCATCATCATAAGGTAGTCAGTACTAAAACTGGTTGGACACGTACCTCCACTCTTTCCTCTCCTGAGCTAATCTTCGCATTTCCCTAAAACTAGAACAACCCATATTCTTAACTGTCTGCGAACAGTAATCTAATCCCTCCTAACTCCCGTTTCTGCCTCTAATATATCTCTGACTAGACCTTCATGACTGAGAAGGTGCCCTACTAACCTTTCTCGCTTATTTCTTATTGACTTCCATAGAGTCCTCTGTTCTCCTTCTCTTTCTAATACCTCTTCATTTCTAACGTTCTCTATCCACGGTACGCTCATCATTCTCATCATTCGCCCGTAACACCACATTTCAAACGCTTCTAACTTTGTCTTTTCCGCCGCGCCCACTGTCCATGTTTCGCACCCGTACAGGAACAGCATTTTTTTGTCTGGATAAAATGTACGCTATGTCCTTTTCTGTATCCTTGGTAATGCGTGTACAAAATTTCATGATGATCGGTTGAGCAGTTAAGGAGTGAAATAGTAATTAACAAACAACCTCACATTCGCTTTTATAATATTAGTTAGAATTGATATTCGGGGCCAATATCAAGTAGTATCAAGGGATGAGGTAACTCAAGTAGCAACGAAGATCAAATCAAATAGTCGATTAATGAAAACCTTTATTTTTAAGTCAAGCAATTTGCAAAACCATCAAGTTAGTTGACTTGATGGATCATCATGCAGGATTGAATAAAAATAGGTGCGTTTCGCGTAAGTGACAGACCAGAGTCAAATAAAAATTAGAGCAGAAAATTGAAGAGATTTGAGGATAAAATTGTGCACGAAGCGGTAAACGATAAAGCACAGGAACAAGAGAAAATGGTTTGTTAACATTTATAAGGTAAAGCGGTTGGATTATTTAAGGATTTAATTTAAAGACAAAAATATTGTGAACACGTTTACGAACAAAGAAAAGTTACCTTAATACTACTACCGTAATTATTTGACATACACGGAGAAAATGAAAAAAGAAAATTTACCTAAATACTAAAGCGATATTTACAATAATTATATCCCACTAGCCCGTTGCTTCGTAAGCGAAATTAATAAAAATTACAATTGAATTTGAACTTAAAATAATTTTTAAAGAAACATGTCAAAATTGAGATTATTACAAGTTGTCTAATAAATTCTACAATTTCTACGGCAAATTTAGTCATTTACAATCGAAAATTGTATAAAAATTTAGTTTTCTCCGTGTACATTAAACAGATTAGAATATTTTCAAATAAAAGTAACTGTACATAATACTGAAAGAACTGGAAAATAATAAGGTAATAAGTATTCCGTAGATTTCTGGTATTATCAAAGGCAGTCGACAACCGATTTGCTATCCTAAAAATTTCCAAAAATACTCTATAAAGTCTAAACCCTGGTATATGTACAGTACTATACCAAAGACTACACTTACAATCAAGGAAAGAACTACTGCTTTCGGTTAGTATTTTAAACTCCTTGTCCTACAATACTTTTTAAAGACACTTCCTAGATCTATACCTAACACTTAAGAAAATGTAGTACAGTTTTTGTACCTATAATATTTCATTGAACACAGGATATTCCCCTAACATTGTTCATTTGTTTTAAGGAATAATTTTTAAATACAATCATAATTGGAATTTAATGTGCATATGCATCTATATAGTACCTACTAATGTAAACAGAATGTCTCGAATTTAAACTTTTGCAAAAGTTCATAATAATGTTTCTTAAGTATAGAAATTTAAAAGATTTGTTTGTAAATTCGCTCCTAATTTACTAAACATCAGGTCGAAAATTAAAAATTTCCTTTGTGCTCTAGAAATGCATGCCACAAATTAATTTTCCTCTTTAATTAACATATTTTATTTTACGACGTATTCTAGACAGTAAATAACTCCCTTTATTAAAAAATACTTCACTTAAAAAAAACAGAAAAATTCTGTTTTTCGTTAAATTTCACCGACTAAATTATGTATACAATTTGGCTTGCGACAATATTATTTACAGCCCTCAGTCATATAAGCAATATTTTGAATAATTAGATGTTCAAGACTATTTACTAATGACTCTTACATTAAATATGTATTTTGTAGATTACTACATATTTTACAATACAGTAGGTTTTTGTTTAACATCCAGCCCAACGTAGGCACGTAGTCATAAATTTGATCTTTTTTGATACAATTAATTTTATTACAATCACCATCAATTTTACAAAAATTTAATAAATAAATTCGCTCGGATATGTCATAAAATAATGTTAATGTTAGATAAAGATAGTACGAGTGAAGATTTTTATTTCATCGACATTTTTATTATTTATCAAAGTTGTAATTTTTTGTGGAACGTCTTTAAGTTAAGTAATAAAATGATTTACCGTGTAGTACCCCGTTATGATGACCTAAAATAATTATATGTATACAACATGGCATCGGAAAGCGAAAATAATATTACTGATAGCCTTAGATCACTTTCTAAAATAATTAATGTTTTGTTACTTATGACTTTCTACGAGAATTTCTGATGTACCAAATATTGTCAAATTCCCAAGCCTAAACTATCGTATTATGGTGAGTTACTTCCACAAAGTGTTTTGCCATTGCCTACCGTTGGAAAATAAGAAGAAGAATCCTTTTGTACTTCTTACTATATTTTAAAATTAATAATGTTAAATTTGCAAAGCAGTATTAATAAATTAAAGCTCTCAGTTGTTTACGCGAGACACACTGTAAATACATATCCCCGATTTCGTTTTGGTTGTGAATACGGACAATAAAACAATGTTGACAGTCTGGTTTTTCCATTACATAGGTTAATGCCAACGTTCATTTGACTTATTTCAATGCTGACTTGATTGTTAATCGCGGTATTTAGTTGGTTAACGCGCAAGAGACGAGTACCGCGCGAGAAGGTGTTCGTGAATGTGCTTTTTTTAACAAGTACAGCCTTTATGTAAAAGATATACAAAGTTAGTGTTTTTTCGTATTTGTTTAAAACAGTTTTGGTAATTCGAACTTTTTACGTACTACTTATAGATTGAACAAGGTAATGTGTAAATGTACCTATTTAACGAATGTACAACTAGAAATACATTTTTCGAACACGTGACAATACAACTTTCAAGTTCGTCTACCTATCCAACAAACAAAACAATTAATTTCATTGACAGTGTCTAATATGGAATAGATATTACTATAATACAGTATTCTCCAAACTTAAATGACTCACTATTGAAACCTACAGGTGAAATTAAGCAAATATACGAATAGGTGGTATTTTTTAACATTTTTACGAAGTATTAATTTAGTGAAAAACTAAAGTTTCATGTGTTATATAATTTTATTATAATATATAGACTTGTCCAAAATAATAATTTATCACTTATTTACAGTAATTTGGAATTATCTCTTTGAATATTACCAAATATTACAGTTATCAGAAAACGTATTTATATTTGTATGGATAATTTTAGATGTGCTGCCCAATTTAAACGAATTAATCACACACAAGAAAGCAGAAAAAGTGGCGATTTTGTTTTTAAAATAGTAGGAGAAACATTTTATTTACATTTATTACGGCTTTAATATTTGTAAAATCATTTATTCAAATATATTCATAAAAATAGCAATAAATTTTTAAATATTTACCGAAACATTACTAAAAGATTAATAAAATCTGTGGGAATTCCAAGTGAAAGGAAAATTAACTATAGATAATGCTAATAATGAATAAACAAATATACTTTAATCTTTCTCAGGTATTAATTTTTGTAAAATACAAATAACAAATACCATCTTTAAAAATAAACGCTACGGATTTTCACTTTGGTAGTCCCATTTTTCTATATTTTCAGTTGAATAAAATTGTGAAAANATATATTCGCTTTTTATTTAGAAGACTAAATGTCAAACGGTTTTTGCGTTATATCTCAGTTATTTATTAAGCTATAATTAATAAAATATTCATAAGTTTACCTAAAAATACTAACAAAATATTTTGAGTAGTTGATAGTTAAGTATACAAGCTGCAAATATTTGATTTTCAAACGATAAAGAAACTGAAAAAGATTTCTATTTCTATTTTCTTCTTTCCATTACCGTAGTCTCTTTTTTTATTTCAATAATGAAGGGTTTTTAATGCTTAATGTGTTTTAAAATTCTATGTAAAGTACTGTGTCCAAATTATTAATGTATTACTGGAATTTTACGATAAATTTTCCTTAAAAGAATGTGACTAGACCAAAAAAATGATTTCTCTTTTACTTTCCATATATCTTCCTGGATTTTAAATTTATTTTAATTTAAAGGGGATTCTTTTTAAGGGATTTTAAACGGGTCCTTTTTTAATCTACACAAAAAAACGTTGTGAAATTCACAAAAGGTTTCAAATGAATTATTTTATATCCTGTTGGCTTTTATTTTACAATAAAAGTGTTTAACATACTTGCGTATAATAATGATAACAATTTTGAATGTTCAAATGTTTTCAGATGGAGTTTATAAAGTGGAAAGTACTATTAATCATCCCCATGTTGTTCTTATCAACAAGTCAGTTGCCAACAGAATCGGAGAAGATTCAAAAGAGATATGGCGACGCATTAGCAGCCATTATGGGAATCGGCATCCGTTTGCAAGCAGTTTTAGAAGATCCCTCTTCAACATCGAACTTCATTGTTTCGCCTATTAGCGCAGCCGTCGCAATAGCTCAACTTATCCTGGGTACAGAAGGAGAACTACAAGACAACTTGTACTATCTACTTTCTCTTCCTAACACTCAGGAAGCGGATAAGACAACGGTGATTTCCTATTTTCATAAAAACAATAACTTTAGTTATGTTTTACCGTATGCAAGACTTCATTTACAATTAGGTGCTTTACTTAAAGTTTTGGCCAGAGATTCGATTGGAAAACCGTACAAATTATCCTGTAGTAGCGTATGGTTTGTGAACAAGGATATCAAGTTGAAGCAGGAATTCTTGCAAAATTTACGAATCTTCGAGTCGCAAGTGTTCATGATGAACTATTCCACCGATCCAATTGCGTCGCAGAATTTCATCAACAAATGGACCGCAGATCATACTAATCAACTCATACAGAAAATCCTTTACAGTCCATTACCAGCGTCCACTTCTGCAGTTTTCCTTAATACCGTCCATTTTAAAGCGGAATGGGAAACACCATTCAGTGACGAGCTGAACATAATGGGACCATTTCAAGTGACACCGACCAAACAGTCGCAAGTAACGTTCATGAGAGGATACATGGACTCAGTGCAGTATATCGAAAACAAGGAAGCTAAATACAGAATGTTGGGACTTCCTTACAAGAACAACGAGTTAATCATGTTCATAATAATGCCCACAGATGATCACGAGCACAAGTTTAATTTGAAAAGATTCATCTACTCTTTAAAGGGAAGTAATATCCTGACCGAAATACAATCCGCAAAACGGAAACAAGTCCTGGTAACGCTGCCCAAATTCAATCTTACGAACACGGTTAGTCTTCTTGAACCTATGGAAAAGTTTCTGGCTTTCAGAGCTAGCCAAAAGAACAAGCAACCCTTAGATGTCAATTTAACAGGGAATGCGGTAGACCTTGTTGAGAAAGGAGTTGGCGAATTTGTGACTTCCAGAACTACCGAGAATGTTGATATTCAATTAACAAGAGCAGTGGACAATGGCAACTTTAGACTGTCAAATATGTTACAAGAAATGACAATTTCTGTAAACGAAAAAGGCACAGAAGCAGCGGCGGTAAGCATGAGCATTATAGATTATATTGGAGGTAGCAAAAACTTCAGAGTGGACAGGCCTTTTGTATTTTTTATACGTCATGAACTAACAACTGCCCCTTTGTTCTGGGGAATGATCTCTGATCCTTCTTTAAATCATTAAACGGTTGGTAAATCGTGACAACTTTCGTTGTTTCTCTTTTTTTTTGTTTCTATCTACTTCAGAAATGGGACTGAAGAACTGTTAAGAAGCTTTGTCGAATATTTTATGTTGTGTATAGTTCCTTAAGATTGCCATTAATATCTATTATTTATTGTACTACTTTACACGTAGGTGTAAATTTGTGTGTGATATGTATATGAATGCATGTTTTTTTTTTTACAAATAAGATGCAGAATGGAATAAATTTATTATTCCGAGCAAGAATTTTATAATGTAATCAACCGAGCCAATAAAATGTAGCACCTAAGTGCATATTTGTTGCATTTTGAATAAAAACAAGTTTTTCACTAATTTTCGTCTTCTAAAAAATAAGCCAACTATTAAATTGCAAATAAACATTTCTGAATGCTAATGTATATTTAAGAAAAATGGTAGGTGTTCAAAACCATTAATTACGACAAATAAAAATTAGTTGTTTCTATGTGGAATCATCTACATATTCGTCTGATTCTTCATAAGCGCTATCTTCGAGAGTTGGACTTTCTTTGCAAGCAAAGCACTGTTTTCCAACGTCTTCCCAGCACTCTGCACAATGAACAAAATGACAAGTTGGTGTTTTACATTTCTCATAGTCACCAGGTTTGCCAGTAGGTATCAAAGGTTCTGGATCTCCACAAATGATGCACTTTCTTCGTGCCGTTTTGAACATCTTTAGCCAATTAAATATTTTAGGATATTTTGTTCTTAAAACAGCGCAAATGTTCAAATTTTCGCGAAGGCGTTGCTGTCTAGCCATTTTTTTAACCTTCTGTTCCATGTGCCTTAAAATATAGAAACAAAATATACCTATACCAACTAAAGGACAAACAGAATGATCCTTCAGTACATCTCTTGGAATTGTAACAACATTTCTAGCGAAAAAAACTCAATTTTAGAAGAAATTTTAGTTGCATCTCTCGGGATAAAATACACAAAAGAGGGAGATGATGTACCTTCTTGTTTTGAAATGATAAAATGCTTGTAAATTACCTCATAAAGGCGACCCTCCTTTTAAGCGTTTCATTGTACAAATAGAGAACACGCCTCTTTTCCCTCTTTCTGTAGAAATAAGAGCAAATCACCCTCCTGAGCCTAAGGGCGTACGCTTGGGATATAATCAAACACCAAACGACAAAGTAAATACCAAATATTTTGTATAAGTAATAATTTGGCAAAAGAGCAGGATTGGGTAAACAACCTTGGTTGGTTTTGTAAGACTTTATACGTTTTTTGAAGTTGAACCCTTTGACAACTGACCGTAAAAGTCCAGCTATTAGACCAGTTCCTTTTACTTTTATTGTCATGTCGTGATGACCAGTTTGAATGTAATCTATTCTTCCATGGTGCCTTACCACCATGAGGGTCTCATATAATAATCGATCTAATAAAATAAAAGTTGTTGCTGTGACTATTTCAAGAGCCAGACGAAGAGTTTGTCCAAAAAGTTGTCCTCTTTCGGTTTGTAACGGCACCGCTGAGCGAGGATCGATCAGTTTCTTTCTTTCAATCTTCTTCAGTGGTAACAGTGTATGTTTTCCGTTAGCATATCGACGAGCGTCGATTCTTCTGAAATACTTTGTTATATAAATGTTGTCAAATTGAATTTCGCGAAGATATTTGTCGTGATATGTCTGGGACTTGATTATTATTTTAAGAAATACGAAAGCCAAGAGTCTCATTAGAAGTTTAATTATCTTATCTAAAATGTCTTTCTTCCTTTGGACGTCGTGCATCATAGCTTTCGCGGTATCAGAAGCATCCCTGTAATCAAGAAGTTGTGGAACTTTTGGCACTTTGTATTGCAATCTTACGTCTTTGAAATTTTGAGTTAGTTCGTCCGTGGATCTCTTCAAATAAAAATAACCTTCTCCGAATCCTGGATCAACTGCTTTGGACGGATCGCACCTGCTTGATCCTCCCAATGCTTGGGCTATATTGCACACAAAAGTCAATTTCATTGGCCAACAAAGTAGCCAAGCAGCAAACCATGTTACAGTATCATAACACGTATCATAAGCTTTTGCAAACATATCTCTGCATTTATTTGAAGCTTTCGAAAGTTGATACTCACATCTTAACTCAACCTTTTCAAGATACATCTTCTGGTATCTTTCGGCCTCATTTTGTTCACCTTTAGTACTATATTTCTTCTTTAATTCGTCGGATCGTTTTGTGTCGTCTAATTTTGAGTCTAAGTAATCGTTTTCTTCGCGGAGACGTATCACCTCTTGTTCGCCTTCTACTTCATCAACAATAGGCGAAGATACGTCTCTTATTGTTTGTATGGTCTCTTTGACTTCTGCCACGTCATTTTTGAGGCCAAAAATTGCTTCCATAAACGGTTTGAAGATCAACTCAACTCGGGTTTTTGTAAGATTGCTTGTGAGCCATATGGTACATGAGTATACTCGAACAATTTCTTTGCCGTTATTGCTGATGTTTTGTACCGGACCAGAGATAATGAAAGTCAAAACCAGAGCTTTCAAAACTCCTCTTCCCGCCTTTCCGCCAAAAGTCGGAAAAGTTAGTAGTGTGATGCATCTGATTTGCAAGGAAAATGCGAAACCAAATGCAAGAAGTAACGACGCAAGTGCACCAACAGAAAAGGATATTGTTGGAGGAAAACTTAAATCTACGATAATCATTTCGTAAAACGCAATACCGAGTAAAAGCCCGAAGACAAATTTGCAAACAATTTTCAAGGCTTTGTGCTCATTTTCGTCGCTGAAGAGTAACGGCTTAAGGAAAGGAAATATTTTAATTAGTTGTTTCTTCGAAGGTAGAGGTAGATATTTACGTTTCATTTTCATAATAAATGACGTTTGTAATATGTCAATAATTTCAACCAATGAATATCTGAATGTGTTTTTATTGAAATCGGGGTTTTCCGGTAAAAAATATCTATAAAAAAATGAATCAAAACAATGGAAATTCTTCCTATACAGTCCACACTCTCATTAGAAGATAATTTTTCAAAGGATTTTTCCATGGAGGACGAAAACAATAAGGTTTAAGGCTTCCTTTTCAAGTTTATATGGTATAAAATAACAAATATTTCTATTAAAAAATAACTTGGTAAAGTGTTGTAATACATTTTAAAAAGCTTAACAACAACAAACAGTCTATCTAGACAGTAAATAACTCCCTTTATTAAAAAATACTTCACTTAAAAAAAACAGAAAAATTCTGTTTTTCGTTAAATTTCACCGACTAAATTATGTATACAATTTGGCTTGCGACAATATTATTTACAGCCCTCAGTCATATAAGCAATATTTTGAATAATTAGATGTTCAAGACTATTTACTAATGACTCTTACATTAAATATGTATTTTGTAGATTACTACATATTTTACAATACAGTAGGTTTTTGTTTAACATCCAGCCCAACGTAGGCACGTAGTCATAAATTTGATCTTTTTTGATACAATTAATTTTATTACAATCACCATCAATTTTACAAAAATTTAATAAATAAATTCGCTCTCATGGGATGTGTTATCAGAAAGATCACTGTCTTTAGAATCATCAGATTTTGAGAGCAGAATGCCAGCCAGACTAGACAAAAGGTGTTTACTCTCCTCTTTTTGTTTAACATCTTCTAATTCGTTTGAAATAATATTGGATAAATTAAATAAAATACTTTTAACTTCTTTTAAGTTAGGATTTGTACTGATGTGACCATCAGACATACTTCGTGTCATCACTTTATCTTTTTTTAATTCAGTTTCATTAATATCACTCCCTAGTTCACTGCCCTGCATGCCACATGATCTACGTTTCCTTGGAAGTGTTTGACTACTAACTACCAGTTTCTTATCATTATTGGGAGTCAATTTTATAGATGAATTTAACAAATTTTCACATGATTTATATTCTGCTTTATCACAAACATTGGAACTTGAACTGCTCTGATCCATAACTAATACAGGTGGTACCATTTTATCAATAATTTTGAATACATTTAGTGGAGGATGAATATTGTCTTCAGCTACTTCTGCGAGGTCTAATTCTTTAGGTGGTGACGTTTGATCAATGTTGAACAATTCATCTGCTATTAAAATACAATGAATTAAAAAAGTTATGGAATATTTAATTACTAGAATTTACCATCATCAACAAATGATATGTCTTGAATTTTCATTGCTAGGTAGCTGGCTTCAATGAAAACAAAATCTTCCTATAAAAGAATATTTTTAGCAACCAAGTTGAGTAAACTAAATGCCTTAGCTGAAAAAGCACCATACATAAACTGCCTCTGAAGGTGTAAATCCAATAATTTTGTGAAAGATACCACTATTAAAATTAATTTATCCCTTAAATTTCACAGCAGCTTGCCACCACTTACTTAGTTAAAACAGATTAAATCATTATCAACTTTTTAGCTTACCTCAAAGTTATAGATATTATATTGGATCATTCACACCTTCTCAGCTAAGACCCTCCTCCATATATTTTTTATTTTACTTTATAAAATTGTTAGAATAACAAACTGCAACTTACAAAGTGTCCTTGATCCTCTATGATTGATAAATTCTTAATGTCTTTGTTAGCTTCTGTATTAGTTGATCCTCCTTCACTGACACATCTTTGTAACTGTTGTTTAGGTATATCACCCTTACAAGATGTTAAATTGGGGATTTGAGACAATGAATGTAGTTCTTTATCATTATCTTTTGTGTCTATATTATTATTTAAAACGTTAATTGTCTGGCAATCTTTAGAAAATCTTTTTAATAAACTTCCTCCACTTCCAAAAGCTTCATTTAAAGTTTCATTTAAAGCAAAATTTGAAGATTGAACAGAATAAATCTTTGAAATCTCAGAGCCATTCAGACTTGCTGAATGAAATGAAATATCTCCAGAATTTGTAGAAGTACTAGGAAATTTTCCATATGAATTGGTATATATAAATGCAGTATTTAAAGGACTGTTTAGAAAACCAGCTGAATTGTGTGCTGTTATGTTTAATTTTTCAATGTCAATAATGCCAAGTGATTCACGACCGTAATCATTAAGTGTAACATCTAATTCATTTAATTTTAAAATTCCAAGTGACTCTCTACCAAGCATAAGAGATTCTCTACCAAAATCTTCAGGACTAAGTTTTAGAATATCTGCTCCATTATTGTCAAATACTTCATTACTTAATAATGAGCCAAATGATTCCATTTTATCCTACATAGAAAAAAATATATAATTTTTTGTAACGTTTTTTAAGTAAAAAGGTACTGATTACAATTAAAAAATATGGTAAAATATCAAATTAATCAAACAATACTTACCCAAAACTGATTTTTATGTTGCTATATTACAAAAATACGTTCTTATTCATTTATAAAACTTGCAAATAAAGTATTATTGGTTTAAAATTCACAAAAACATTCACTATAAACACAGTTAACAGTTAAAATCGACATTTAAACTTGACATTGACGGTATGTCAATATGACAGGGATCATATTATCGGCATTTATGAAATTTCTTTTATACCAACGTTTTATACGTGCGTTTCTCGTTTACTTGAGCATACTACCAAAAGAGTACTCTAGTAGGTCTTTAAGATATTTTATATATACAGAGCGATTATAAAAATATGTATATAC